ATACATAATATACAAGAATGAGTTCAAAAATTAAAAAAAACTTTTGTTCCCATTATAATTTGGTTTAACAAATGCCATTTTGAAATTGATACCTACCACTTTCGGCCAGTGTATGACTGCTGTTTATCTTTTGTTTACACATTTGATTCGAATTAACACGGAGGACGCAGTAGTCGAGGGAAAAACAAACAGGGCAATCATAACAATTTAATAAAGAACAACAAATGCATTAGGCCAACGCGTGCGACAGATTTATGGCCAAAACAAAGTTCAGGAGCTGGTCGAAAAGCCCCTCCAAGAGCAGAACAACCTAGATTTCGTTGCCAGGCGGCCGTCAAAAATGTTTATAGAACTTTCGATGACAAAATGTTCTTCTAATGATGCTGTTTGAGAGACCAGAATGTCCATGCCCCATTAGTCACGTAAGTTTCGGATTCTCGGTGGGTGGCAAAAGATAACCACAATCAAACTGATAGTTTCCCCATTGATAGTTTAGAATATGGGTCCGACCCACTGAAAGTTATAGAATTATTTACAATTAAAATGTGCTGTGTGTCCTCGATTTGACAGCAAAATAAATAAACAACTTGGTATCGCTTATTGCACATTCTTACTTGTAGATACCATACACAGTATAACTTCGTTAAAGCGAACGTTCTTAAACTGCATTGCTTATAACTGTGTACATATGTGTGTAAGTTAATAGTTTTCTGGTAAGTGCTGTTTAAAAGCTATGAAAGGATTTTTTTTAAGCACTAAGTTTGTATTTTAAAATTGAAGGCATATTTTTAAGGTACTAAGTATGTATCTTAAAATGTCTTATTCACTGGGTTACAAAAACCGTTGATGGCTTGGGAACGGTTGGCTTGAACACCAACTAACCAAAACCCTCGGTGTCACAGAATCTATAAAGTTTTGAAGTAAATTTGGGATGATTTTAGAAACATTTTTTTTTAAAGCCTACTATGTATATGTTTGGTTTTAATTCGTCCCCTAATTTTTAAACCGATTTTGTTACACAGAAATTAGAATTTTGGGGGAAATTTGGTTGAAAAAGATGTTTGCGACCCTTTGGATTACTTACATTTTTTTGGAAAATATCTCCATAAAACAAATTGTTTTTACAAGAAATGAGTTTTTTATAGATAAAATACGACTAAAACAATCTATAAAGGAAACTACATTTTATTAAGCCACGTTTTTGGAGCACCCTCTCCTATATTTCTTTTGAAATAATAGTTAGATTACACAGATTGTTCTTTTTTAAGTTTAACTGCGTTCTAAAAGTGTTACATCAAACTGATAGCTTGCTGTATCTATGTATCTCTATCTGTTTGCGATTGCTTGTTGTTTGTGTTTGTGGAGCGAGGAACGGTGGATGTTTGTATGGTAATGACACGGTGAGTGAAGGGAGAGGGATAGGTGGAGGGGGGAGGGGCAGGGGAGAGAGAGCGAGCTCAAACAAAACCAAAGTCATGTCCACGTGCTTGCTGCATGATAATCACGCACTGGCCGTGTGGCATTGCGGGAAAGGGACGGCGATACAGAAAGAGAGCCAGCTGACGCCGTTTTGTTTTTGTTTTCATCTCTCTCTATCTGTCGCTCTCTCTCACTCTCTCTTTGGCGGAGAAAAAACTGCACAGAACAAAGATAGAAATGGGCATCATTGTTTTGTGCGTGCGTCGTTGTTGTTGTTGTTCTTTGTTTGAACCGCACAACAACAATGCGTAAATAAACCGATATAAATACGCCTTACATTTACGCAGTTACATTTTACACATCGCATCCTGATACCAAAAATGTATCTCATATTTGTTGGGTTCAAGCAACAGCCTCCAAATTAAGCACTAAGAAAAAAGATGAATTTTTACTACTCATTCCTTTGAAAGGGTTATAACATCAATATTGTATTCTGTCGATACCAACGAAATACATCTAAAGATACTAGCAAAAAAATCATCAAAAATTGCATTTCAAAATATAATTTTTTATATCCCTGCATTTTTAGTTTCTTATTTTACAACATTTTGACTGTTTTTAAAAATGTATTCGAAAGTTTTCACTTCAAGATATGCCAGTAAATTCTTGATATTAAATGACGTTAACAGTTTTGCCTTAGCTGAAATCAGTAAAAAAATTAAAAAAGAGCTAAGAAATTATAAAATGGAATTTTTATTTATAAATTTAAATTTATGTTGTAAGTTAAGAGATAAAAATAAATCTAAAGATACAAACCGAAAACCATCAAAAATTGCATTTCAAAATATAATATTTTGAATCTTTTTTTTGTCTTTAAGATTTTATTTAATATTTTTCTCTTCAAGATATGCCATTAAAAACTTGATATTAAATGAAGTGAACAATTTTGATTAGGCTGAAATCAGTAAAAAAATTAGAAAAGAGCTAGGAAATTATAAAATTCACTTTTTTATTTATAAAAGATAAATTTAAGTCTTCAATAACTATCTTGCAAGTTTATTTGTATGTATGTATGGTCCAAAGTCACTGAAACATCTGGTCGAAGGCAAAAGCGAAAGTGCCATTAAAATTCGATAAGCAAAATTCGCATAAGCAATAATTAAAAGCAATATGTGTTCAATTAAAAGCTGCGACCCGACTCTTGACCAATTAAAATCAGTCCCCAAAGATACATATGTATGTCCCCCGATCTCCTCATCGTGATCAAGAGATCAGAAAACCAGCAAAATATTTACTGAATTATTTATTTATTTATTTGTTATTGGCGTGGCGCTGTGCTTGAAATAAAAACATTTGTTGATCAATTCCAGTCAATTGCTTTTAATGACGGAATCAATCGAGTCTAATGATGGATTGGCTATGCAAATTTTGTGGGGTTGTCGCGCCAAAAAATGTGGACCACTGTAGTTTTCCCATCCCGGATTGGAAAATGTAACCAATTATGCAGCAATGAGACATAAAATTTTATTGTAATCGCTGTCGGCCAACCGGAGTGAACTCTGTGTGAAACAATTAATGCAGCGGCTGCGGAAATCTGCTATTTTTAGACCCTTTGTGTGAACGCGATTAACAATAATTTCTTCGATCCCAATCGAGATCTGAGTTTCCGACTTTGTTTTTCTTATTTTCTCCCTGCTTTCAGCCACACATGTTTAATGTTAATTTACAATGCCTGATTGTGTTTTAATGGGTTTAAATGTGTATATAATATTTGGACAGTTTAAGGGTAAATATAACTATAAATTAAAGAACGCCACACCCAGATTTTGGAGGTATATACCTTTTTCCTTTAGTAACAATTCGATTATGTCAAGTAATCAATCATATTTCGCGTGCACAAACTTCTTATTAATACAGAAAAGTTGTTTATTGGATGAAGATCTAGTCCATATTGGTATTATGACGCTTTCCCCAAGTGTTTATTGCCAAGTCGAATCTCCAGGCGCTGATAAGTCAGTATTCTACGATACGGGAGCCTAAACTTTGATACTTGTGAAGACACAAACAAACTCAATGATTTACAGGGCCACTTGACTGAGTTTTTGATTGGCCCCTATAAGAGTTGTTTACCCTCAGGGTTCTGCGGCAGGCATAGATTCGGGTCCAAGGGCATGATTAAAAAGGGGAAAGACTTTTCCCAAAACGCAACATATCGTGTGTATGCCCCATTAAAACCGGGGTATGGAACTACGCACTAGAATGGCGGAATGCCGGAAAGAAAAGGATGTCTACCCCAAGAAAGGAAGTTGTTCCGAAGAAAATGGCAACCTGCACGTACACCCTCCAGGACGACAATTGCGTAATATGGATTTGTTCGCAACTTACCCTTGTAAAAAAGTTAAAAGCGTGGTGTATCAAAAACACTCTCGCCGTCACTTATCAATCTATGTTTAACTAATTGTTAACTTTAATAGTTGTTATTCAAAACGCCTGGACAGCGTTGTAGCTTCTGTAAAACTTGTCGACTGTTTTTATTCGAGGAGCACCGCAGCCGCACGGCGTAGAGCAGGATACGTTTGACTTTGAAGTCTCCTTTGTCGAGTGTGAAATAAAGGCAGGGTTTAAGTGTAAATACGAGATCCGAGTCTGCGCAGTGTTTGTTGATGGGAAGAAAGGTATTTCTTTGTTGCAGCGGAACCGGTTCGTTTTAGTGGCATTTTAAATGGTCATCTTAAATTATTATATTCTAATGAAACTACTTTATCCTATGGGTTTAAGTGTACATTTCGGTTGTTGTTATACTTAACCGTTTTTCTACATTTTAAAAAAGGCGCCCTAAAAATAAGGCATTTTATAACACTGCTTTTAACGCACCCCAAAAGTATGCAATGCGTCAACTATTTTTCCAAATCATTATGCAAATAGAGGGTCTCCACTTGACTAAGCGCCCTACATCAAATCCCATCGTTTTTATTTTTACACAAAAGTGACTCGTATAAAAGGCTTTACTTTTATTTATTTGTCGATCCTCTGGCTGATGGTTTCATAAACAATTACTTTGGCATTCACGGGTGCCATTTTCGATGCTAGTATTAAGCATTTTACTTTTAAAATGAGCAAGAAAATTAGTGTATGACAGAAATTGCTATAGATTTCAACCATATGTATCGAACATTTGAAGATATTGTTACCAACCATTAAGAACCTATCTATAAAAGATTTTACAAAGTCTGATTAATTTCTGTATATTCTACCCTTTTAAATATTTAGTCACAAGAAGGCATTTTTTTGTTTATATTGTACTAACCACTTGTGGACCATTGAAATCCGTTTTAGGTGCAGTGGAAACGGCTCGTAAGGTGACCATGCCGTGTTTCATTTCTCTGGCCATTAGTATGACCGTACCAAAGGACAGCTATACTGTCCAAGTGACACAACCGTTACGTTACGTTTGATTACAGTACGTTAACTGACTGTTTGCCTTACGTTTGCTGACATTTGAGTTTACCTTACGTTTATTTACGTTTAGTGGCACTTACGTTTACCCACGTTTTCTTACGTTTACTAACACTTACGTTACTGACAGGCACAAAAATTGAGCATACGCCTAGACTGATTTCAAACGCGCAGTAGAAATCAACAAGTGATCACCATGTCGAGCGAGGAAACCAAGACTTTCACGCGGGCCGAGGTCGCCAAGCACAACACAAACAAGGACACCTGGCTGCTCATCCACAACAGCATCTACGACGTCACCGCCTTCCTGAACGAGGTGAGAGTTGCTGGGAACACGTCGAAGTTGCGGTTGCGGTCCCCCTCCGCCGCCGACGCCCCTGAAACTGAATGGGGGTCAGCGGTGTTATTAGGCGTTATCTGGGTTCCATTCCTATGAGCTAATGGCGTCGCTAGGGCCAAACCCCGAACCCACGTAGACACATGCGCCCCGGAATTGTGTAGTGCACACACAGTTCGTGCGTGTGAAAATTCCAGCTGAGTAATTAGACCTGTACTTTGACCCCCGGGCAGTGGTTGACCTGCCTCCGGATTTCGTAGATTCACAGCGACGTCGAAACTTCCAGCAGCCACTTTCGCCTGACGAAACTCCAAGCTTTTGAAATGGCTCCACATGGCGAAACTAACCATTTGCATACATGCCCACATATAGTTTTTGAGTGTGCGGGGGGTCAAGTGTTAAGCGAAATCAGCGTCTGCATTTGCATCTCATTTGATTTATGGGCTCGCATTTGAATTTGGTTTTAGATTCTTATGCAAGTGCACCGCCTGTGCCGGCTCCGAAATATGGTTCACCCTGACGCAGCAATCGGGTCTTGACTACACCTACATATGTTCATATGTTAGCTATCTGTAGGATCCACTACTCTTATAAGATAAGCTGTGTGAAAATTCCATTCTAACGATGACGTTGCAATTTGTGTACCTCAAAATAACAATAGTGAGGGTGACCAAGCGGCTCACCTATAATTCCATTCCAAAGTTTGAGTCGACTATCGCCAGAAGTGATCCAGTCCATGTTTAAAACATGCACCTCATCTGAACTGGTTGGTCCTCTGCCCTTATTTTGGAATATTTATGTGTATATCCGCTCATCTTCCTACAGCATCACCAGACAAATAGCAAATTAGACTTCCAGATTTCTGTTTTTAAAGTTCTTAAAGTGTAACCTAACCTTGCGACTCAATATAACAAGGTGAAATGAAACTATATCGTGTAATCGTTATCAATATCAAACAATAGTTTTGTGAGAAAGCATTAGAAACAGCTTTAGTGTTCTTTAAAACATATATTCAACGGCAATCCCAAAAAAAATGGTGAAAACTGTTGTTATCAGCTTATCAGCCCTGATAATTTTAATTTAAACCTTAGATATCTTCTATTAGAACTAGGTAATTGTTTGAAGGATGGTGAAAATAATTTGTAAAGTCGTTTATTTGCAATTCCGTTTTCGAATAACCTTGTTTGCAATTTATTAGCCACTTATGTAGATAATCGTTAAAAGTAGTGTAAATGTTTAGTATTTTCATTTAGACGTCATTAAAATATGAGATCTAATTTAGTTGTTTTGCCTTTGACAACATGTAATGAAAATAATTACATTATACTTGACTCACGACGACTTAATAAAACTTTAAGTTGTAGTACAAAGTCGAATATGTATTATAAAAGCAACTATATGTAAATGTATACATGAATTTAATTACTCAATTTGTAACTTGCAAGTTCGGCAATTTTAATTGGATTAAGTCTACTATTACATTTATAACTATTAGTCCTCTGGTCAGTAAAAAATCTATTTTTAGCACCAAGTTCCTACTATTTTATAATATTCTGACTTCACAAACGTAACAAAAATGTAAACTACCCTATAGATTCCGTCAAAACGGATGTTACAAAAAAGTATTCCAGACTTTGCACCGGCTAACGAGCGTCACCGCTTGCTGATCCATTAAATTCAGGGTCAGACGCCCATTACCATTTCTTCAAGACCAGCCACCATTTATTTATGCGAATATTTATCCCCCTTTTTCTTTGCTCCACAGCATCCCGGTGGCGAAGAGGTGCTCATCGAGCAGGCCGGCAAGGATGCCACGGAGAACTTCGAGGACGTTGGCCACAGCAACGATGCCCGCGACATGATGAAGAAGTACAAAGTCGGCGAGTTGGTCGAGAGCGAAAGGACCAACGTGGCCCAGAAGTCGGAGCCCACCTGGAGCACGGAGCAGCAGGGCGAGGAGAGCTCGGTGAAGTCGTGGCTGGTGCCCCTGGTGCTGTGCCTGGTGGCCACGCTCTTCTACAAGTTCTTCTTTGGCGGTGCCAAGCAGTAGCTAACCCACAGTGCCAAGCAGAGACTTTCCAACCAGCTCCGGAGTCACTAAGTTAAGCTCAAAAGTCAAGGGCTCCGGAACGAGGAGGAGGAGGATGAGGTGGAGTGGACCAGTGGAGCGGGAGCGATGATTTTTATAGTAAATTTTGTGCTAAGTTTTAATGTTAATTTTGGCATTTGGCTTTTTTGTACATCCTCTACACATGTAATTCCTTCAGACGGCGGGTCTAGACTATAAAGCTATGTTTCCCATTGATATTCCAACATATGAGGCACAAAACGACAGCAGAACGTTTTAATTCACATGTATGTACATTAAACATATTTCCAAAAGAAAAGAAACCCGTCCAAATTTTTTAAGTTCCCGTCAGTTTGTCTGTTCCATTGGCACTAATATTGTCTCCTCATACAGATAAAGTCAAAATTCTGTGTGTATCGCAGGGGGTAACACCATGGCCAAGATCCTTCAGATGGCGGTGATGCTGGGTAGCTCCAAGCTGGGCCACGGCGCCTTCGGATTCGATGAGCGGCACACGGACTCGGCGCCAGTGCCCCAAATGAAACGGGAACTGCCCACGCGGAAGATGTGCCTGGAGGCATTCAAGCGCACCCAGTACGACATCCTTATCATTGGCGGCGGTGCCGTGGGCTCTGGTTGTGCCCTGGATGCTGCCACGAGGGGCCTGAAGACGGCTCTGGTGGAGGCGAACGACTTCGGCAGCGGCACCTCTTCCAAATCGAGTAAACTTTTGCATGGCGGCCTAAGGGATCTGGAGCAGGCCATCTCACGGTTTGATGTGGCGGCATTCCGAAGGGTTCGCTGCTCCTTGCAGGAGCGCAGTCACATTGGCAACCTGGCGCCGCATCTCAGCCAGCCGGTGCCCATCTTGCTGCCCGTGCACCACTGGTGGGAGGCTCCGCTTTACTACCTAAAGTTGACGATCTACCACCTGATGGCGCCCAAGGGCACCAAGAGTTTCCAATACCTGAGTTCCGACGAGGCGCTGGAGGTGTTTCCCATGCTTCGGCAGCGGGAGCTCTTTGGCGCCTTCGTCTTCTACGAGGGTCAGCACGACGATGCCAGGATGTGTCTCTCGGTGGCCCTGACAGCGGCTCGTTACGGAGCGGACATCTGCAACCACATGAAGGTCTTGAGGCTGATCAAAAACAAGGAAGGCAACGTGGCCGGCGCTGAGGCGGTGGACCAGCTAACGGGCAAAAAGTACAGCATCCGGGCAAAGGTGGTGGTCAATGCCACGGGCCACATGAGCGACAGCCTCCGCCAGATGGAAGATTCGGAGGCCAAGCCGCTTTGCACGCGCAGCTGGTCCTCGATCATCGTCCTGCCGCGCTTCTACTGTCCAGAGGACGTTGGCGTTTTCGATCCGCACACTCCCAATGGTCGGTCCATCTTCTTCCTGCCCTGGCAAAATCACACGCTGGTGGGATCCAGCGATGATCCTGGCTATCTGCCCGATCAGGACACTCAGCCCACGGAGACGGATGTCCAGTCTCTGTTGGACGGCATCAAGCACTTTGTGTCGCCGAACTTCGATGTGCGAAGGTGCGATGTGCTGGCAGTTTGGGGTGGCTTTAAGCCCCTGCCAGTGCAATCCGACTCACTGCATCACACGCGGCTCAAGAACCATGTTATCCAACTGGGTCCTAGGAACATGATTTCCATCGTGGGTGGCACTTGGTCTTCTTTTCGGGCACTGTCAGAGAAAACCGTGAATGCAGCCATCCGTCATGGAGATCTCTCACCTCTGCGGAAGAATTCGGTGACCGCGGCGTCGTGTAAACTGGACGGAGCCAGTGGCTGGAGCCCGAATATGTTCATCCGGCTGGTGCAGGACTTCGGCATGGAGCGGGATGTGGCCGAGCACCTGTCCAACACCTACGGATCGAATGCTTTCAAGGTGGCCGTGAATGCGGATAGCAGTGGGATGGCCTGGCCCATTGTGGGCAAGCGACTGCACTCGGAGTTCCCATACATCGAGGCGGAGGTGAAGCAGGGCGTTCGTGATTTCGCCTGCACGCTGGAGGACATGGTGGCCCGTCGGCTACGCGTTGCCTTTCTCAATGTCCAAGTGGCGCAGGAGATACTGCCACAGGTGGCCAACATCATGGCTAAGGAGTTAAACTGGTCGCGGGAGCAAACGAAAAGGCAGATCAGAGAGACGCGCGCCTTTCTGAACACTCAGATGGGTCAGCTGACCAACGAGAATGCATCGCAGATGAACATACCCATCAAGATGTCTGTGCGCCAGGTGCGGAAGTTTGCCGGGCAATTCAGGCAGCTGGACGAGAACAAAACGGGGTACGTGTCCATTGCAAACTGCTGCAAAGCAATGAAAAACATGGGCGTGAAGGAGGTGCCTGTCGACCTGATGCACAATGTCCTGCGGGACATCGATGTCCATGCCCAGGGCAAGGTGAACCTGTACGAGTTCCTCCTGCTCATGTCGGCCATTGTGCAGGGCGACACCGAGTATCTCCGCTACGCCCGGCTGTATTTGGATCACAAAAAACAAATGCAGGGCAGCGACTTTCCCATGGTAGTGCAAATGGAGCGGGCCGGTGGCGGCCTTTAAAATGTATCCTTCTTTGTCGCCCTCTCTTTGGAATCTGAATACATTGACCGTCCTCACATTACACATTAAGGCAGGTCCCTTTGTGGATCGCTACCTCAACTCAAATTTATTTCACGCACTTTCTGTTCACACAAACTAAGGGGAAGAAAACTTACAAACGGATGGGTATAAGGGTGGATAGGCTATCCTACTCCTTGGGCTTTTCCTTGGGCTGGTACGGCTTCATAAGGTTCTCAGAGAAGGAGCGGATGCCCTCCGGACCGCGCACCTCCTTCTCGAGCAGCGGCAACTTGGTCACGTGGAAGTCTTCGTACAGGTCGGCAATCTGGTCCAGGTACTTCTCCTGGATCTTGTAGCGGGAGGCGCACATGCTGCAGGAGTCGTGCGAGTTCTGCAGGAACAGCAGCTGATTCACAATGATGTTGTGGACGTCAATGCCGCACTTGGTTAGTTCTTGGACCAGGCGTTCCGTCTCGTACAGCGAAAAGAACTCGGCTATGCAGACGCAGACGAAGGTGGTTTGATCCTGTCGGAAAAGGAAGCCGAATTAGAAGTTGTAGAAGATTATAAGCATGCCTTTACTTACTGGATTCTTGAACTGCTCGTTGACCTGGGTGATCACGCGCAGCATGTCGTCCAGTTTCTGGGAGAGTGTGTCCGCGTTCACATCCGCCATGCCCAGCATGGAGGCGAACTGTGATATGAGCGGCGCCACCTTCATCTTGAGCCGCAGCAGCTTGCCCAGTCCCTTCTCCACCACCTGGGGGAATGCAATCAGGCGCAGCGTGTGTCCCGTGGGCGCCGTGTCGAACACAACCACCGAGAAGTTCATGCCCTTGACCAGCTTCATCACCTCCGCGTAGCTCATCGCCTCATCGATGCCGGGCAGGGCATTGATCATCTCCTGCATGACGCCCTTGCTTACGCGCAGCGCCTCGTTCTCGCCCTCGAAGTACTCCTCGGGCAGCTCGTTGAGTCCAGCATTTGGGTCGATTTCCATGGCGAACAGGTTGTCGAAGCCATTGACCTGGGGGCGGAATGTGAGTGGGTTTTATTGGGATCAATTTACTGGGTGAATCATATTTATATGAATTGGCTTCTTTAAAATCCATATGCAGTTGCATTTTTTAAAATTTGTGGATGTTTTGTATAACTTTGTGGGGATAATTTGAACAAGATATGTTACTACTTGCTAAATAATTTGATGTTATCCTTTAAATTTACCAAATTTATGAACTTAGTCAGAGACTTTGTGGCAAAATAAATTATTTTAGCACTCTAACTTGGTTTTTCTTTAAGCTTTGCACAGAAACTGAGATGGATTAGATAGTTAAACTCATATAATGACTTTATCCCCAATAATTCCCAAGTAAAGACATCAGGTTTACTGAAGTTTTCCACTCACCTTTGTGGGCACCTTGGTGAACTTCTGATCGAATGCATCCGATATGTTGTGTGCCGGATCTGTGGATATAATCAGCACCGATTCGCGCACTTTCGACAGCTGAACCGCCAGGCTGGAACTGAAAAATATAAATCATATATTAATACATATGCTTCATATGGTTTGGCCAAAAAGCTGCATTGTTGTTGTTTTACCTGCAGGTCGTCTTGCCCACGCCGCCTTTGCCGCCCACAAAGATCCACTTCAGCGAGTCCTGCTCCACAAGATTCTGCAGGCTGGGCTCCAGCGGCTCCAGATTGTCGACCATAATGCCAACTTAAGCGAGACACGTAGGAATAGGAAATTAAGTAAAATTAATTGCAATGAATATGAATTCTGGCGAGGAGTGTGACCGTTCGCAGGAAATATGCAGGAATGGCGGCAAAGCGGCTACCGATATAACTATCGATAGGCATGCCGAACAGCTGATCACGAGCAGACAGCTGGACCAGGGATGGATTTACCATATTTGGCGCCAAATGAGAAATTTCAAATGGCTAAGGCTATTGGGAATTGACTTTATCACTTAAAAGTTGAGTAGCTTCCACCAAAACAAAACAAAATTGAAACCGATAGCAAAAATCACTGCGTTGTGAACGTTGTTGCGTAAATTTCTCAAGCCCTGCCTCTTTTATCGTGCCTATTAAATGCACAAAGCGCGCTCGCAAGAAATAAATAAGTGCCGCGGATGCTTGTCCCGTCGCCGCGTTTCCCGCGCCATCACAGCCTACTACTGTTAATTGTGCAAATCGCGAGCTTATCAAAACATTAGCGAGCAACAAAAGGAAGCAAAATCATATAGCTATGGACTACTAAAAATAGTTGTGAAAACACCTCCGTCTTCATGGGTCCGCGTTAAAAGCAGTGCGTTTGCTATTTCGATTTCCAGTATCTTTGTGTTACACCGCAAACCCCACCGATTTCCGTCCATTAACCCAAGCTTTCTCGCCCACTAAGGCGCAAAGATAAAGATTTTATTTCTTATCGCGAAATACGGATGCTGCGACCCACTGTGCGTATTGTAAAGTAATAATTATAGTCTAAAATTCTTTGAG